CTGAATAGAGTATAGTGATTTGCAATTATATTATAATTAAGTAGTATAATGAGTCATAAATTATCCATATATTATTAAAGATAAATTTAGTAACAATTTTTTCAACTGTAATGATTTACTAATAATATCAACACTAATTGATAAATAGTAAAATCTATTGATAAGTCAATTTCCATTCTACATCAAATTAATAAAATATATAAAAAATTCAAACCTGACAGGTGACACAGATTTATTTCGACTTCTTGATCTATACCGACGACTGTGACCCCTTGATAATGATCTAGATTTTCGACGAGGGGATCTTGAACGAGAACACCGTTTCTTTCTTGAATGGTTTTTTGAAGATTTTGATCTAAAAAACATAAAATTTGAAACTATAAAAATAACTAAAATAATTGGTCTAATTTGCTTGTTTAAAAAAAACATATAATAGATATAATTTAAATTTTAGTTTACTGTAACATCAATATTAATAACATCAAATCATTATTATTAAGTATTTACTTTGTGCCTGTTTTCGATTTGTCATTTGTCGTAGGTTCTTCATCACCAAAACTAGTTATATAAGTTACTTGGCCTGAGTTTTCAGGAGTAGGTGAGCGAGATGTCATCATTGATGATAGTTGATCAAAATCAGTATAGCTAGGACTTTTTCTTGTTGCATAACTAAAAAGTTATTAAAATAATTTATAAAAATTATAAGTTATAGGATTGCCTATAATAGAATAAATTAAATTTTTAAAAGTAAAACCTGAGTGGACTTAATGCTTTGCCTTCTAATGCTTTTAATCGAAAAGCTCTACGTTCTCTTCTAGATCTTCTTCCCTAAAGACAACATTTAAAATTAATTTATATTAAATTTACTTTTAGTGTAAAATAATACAGTTTTAAAATTTAATTGAGGGATACAATTTCATTGTTAATTTTTACTTGAAGTCTACACGATTCAATAAAAACAATTTTTAGGAGTTGAATTAATAGCTTACTAGAACAATAATAATTTATTTAAATAAAGAAACTTACAGCAAACATGGCTTTTTCTTCTTCAGCTAAACGAGCTAATTGAATATTTTCAGCTTCTTCCAAATCATTATTAAGAAAACTGTAAAAATCATTAGTAGTCATGCCAAAACCATGTGCAGTAGAGTTTAACTCATTTGCTTGGTCAGTACCAATTTTGCTAACATCAATTGATAAATCTTAGGAACAAAATAAAACTAATAAGTTACAATTTATACTCAATTTTAATTTTTTAGCATTTGTGCTTACCAAAATCAACTTCACTCTCCTCATCAGATTCGTCAGAACCATCAGTTTTAGGTTTTATATCCAAATATTTTCGGGAATCATCAGTTTGAATTGTGTCTTCATCACTATATTTATAAGGAATAGCAGCATTAGCGTTAGATTTTTTTTTAGCATCATCTGCATCTGATTTAGTTACAGGGCCAAATTTTTCTTCCAGATAAAGTTGGTGTAAAAATTTACTTTCAGAAACTAAAATTTTTAAAATATATGTTTTAAATTAAATAACAATAGATGACTAAAAAAAAAATCTTACTTCCTAAGAACTCATTTTGAACAAGAATGCGATAACGTTCATAGTTTAAATGACGTTCTTCATATGACATTTGTTCATCTTCATCATCTTTCTTAGGTTCTCTGATAAAATCTAGATGAGCTCGTGCATCAAACCGGTCAATCATTATTTCTTCATTTCCTTGCCAAGGCATCCTAACATAAGAAAAATACAATCAATCCAATTATAAGAAGAACAAAAAACAAAGATCAGAAAAAATTACTAAATGCTTACATAGTAGCAGGACTATTGGCGGCAATTGCAATACTTGGATCTATATGTATTTTACATTGACGACCGTGCAATTGTAAAAATTGTGTAGGATCAGCTTTCTGAAAATAAATGAGATATAATTTTACTATTGTAATTAATATGATTTGCAAAAAAAAAAAGCACTTACAATTTTTTCATAATAATCCTTTCGACGCTGAGCTCGTCTTTGATAGTCAACCAATAGGCCGCGGATTTTTTTCTCTTGTTTTCTTGCTTCGTGCCACATGATTTATTTTTAAAGAGTAAAAATGTCAAACAACTAGAGCAAAAAATACTAGAACCATCTGTGTGAACATATCTGAAACTTAACTACAATAGTCATAACAGAAGAGGCTAGAGAAGTAGATATAGAGTTTAATACACAAATATACGAAATACGAATGCGAACTAATGCGAAATTCGATAACAGTCTTTTGAACGACTATTGCCACTGCCCACTACAAGTAGTATAAGTCTACAAACAGTACAAACACTACAAATCAGTAATAACTATCACTATTTTATTGATAAGAAACTTTGTATGCTTGGTTAGATATAATGTTATGGAGGGGGTGGGGAAGGTATCATAATGCAAATGGTTTTTAAACTATAAAATGAGTTTTAGAACTCGCGTAAAAACAAATTCTAAAGTATACATAGAATTTATTAAATATATTGCAGTATTATTAATAAAACTGTTCGAATTATTGTCAATTCAGTTGAAGATCCACAATGAATATTACTAAGAGAAATATCATATACGAACTGATACAACATAAAATACATTTAAATACAAAATATGAATAATATCGAATTAATTTAATGAATAAACACTCAATGTATTCTATATAACTATAACTTATAATTTATTTAAAGTAAAATCTGCATACAAGTGACGAATAATTGTAGCAAGACCATAAATGTCTTTATCAATTATCATGAAGGTATCATACAATGCAACTATGCAACAATATTGTGTTAAATAAAAAATGTTGAATCTACTTAATGAGTCTTTTTTTATTTTAAGTTTAAACCCATAGGCGCAATTTGGATTAAATTTATAAGGATGCTAGATTATGTTAACCAAAATGACCTGTAGGTGACTTCCTCCACACCACTTTCGTACAGCACCATTCATACATTTTTGTTACACAACCTTATTATTTATTAATAATTTATGATAAAATAAAATATTAATAAAGAAAATAGAACACAAATTTTAAACATAACTTATGAGTAATTACATTTTTTATTTTTATTTAAATATTATGTTGGGTAAAGATATACGTCTTAAAGACATAGGTACTAAAAATATTTATTATCTTATCTTTATCAATTTTAGTGCTTAAATCTTTCTCTATATTAATAAATGTTTTTCATTTGCCAAATAGTGAAAAGACGTTTCGGAGTTTCGACGTAATCGTTATTGACTTATCGATAATCGTTTTATAAAGTCTTGTGTAATTAATCCATGATAATTCATTAATCTTAATTTATAATATAAATAATAAATTGACAATAATATTTTCTATATTAGGTATTTTGAAGATGAAAAGTCCCAGAATCAAATCTATCTTAATTCCTACGACTATGACATAATATCATAATTCATAACCTATAAAAATTCGATGATATTATTAAAAATTTAGGAGTGCTAATATGAAATTTGAGGGTGCTAATCACCCCCTAAATTGCGCCTATGTTTAAACCAAACTTCAAAACTTTTTAAATAGGTACACTTCATATCAGTGGCGCTGAACCCATACATGAACTGAAGCGATCACTTAATTTAATAAAGAGGGTGGTTGGTTTTATTTGTATATGTGTTTCTATTTTTACATTATATAATACCTACCTAGGTCCTATACTAAATAATTAAATAACTAACTAAAATTATTACTAATAAGAGGTAGACAACATCCTCAATGGTGGGTGGGTGTGTAAATATTTTGATTTTGCTTCATTTAAATTTATTTGACTCGGTACCACTCTGCTTCATATTTTAATAATAACAACAAATTTATAATACACCTTTTTACTACAGAATCAGAAAAATTAAGTAACATTTGAATTTTATAATCTTATTAAATGGACATGAAGGTATATATTTTAAATCAGTATAACTTTTCTGGATTTTGTACAATATTTATTCAAAATAATTTCAGTGTTTAGCTGATTTAATAAATCTATTTTCAGCAAAGATAAACTGATAAACCTTTACTAAAGAATGATTGATCTTAACCAGTTTTTTAACCACTGTATTTTCAAAAAATTTGGCTCCCAAGTAGCAAATTCATTACAGATAGTACATTGCAAAAATTCGTATTAATTTGAAAAAAAAATCTTTTTTCATTTTTGTATTCTCTTTTATATCTTTCAGTGTAAATTACTGAATAACCATCATTGATACCTACAACTTTCAACACAATAAAAGTTACTGTTTAGTAGGTAATTATTAAAATTTATTTTAATTTTATAATGATTGATGAACTCTAGTCTTTCATCATAGTTTTAGCAGTTTAAGTTCATAAATTCATTAACTGAACAAGCAATTAACGAGTTTTTCTCAGAGAATTGGTATTTAAGATTGGTGATCATAGTAGGTATTAATTAATAGAAAGTATACACTTATTTTAATATATAAACTAAAAAATTGATGATAGGAATAAAAAAAAACAAAGAGTGATAAAGACCCTTTTTCACCCCCCCCCCTAGATGCACCAATGGTGGAATGGTGGTAATAAATAAAGTACTTATAAAATAAACTATTATATAATATAATAAACACGTTATATTCTATGATAATACTATAAAAGTATGAGCAATGAATTCAATATAATATATATAAATAATAAATGAGAAAAAATTAAAAACTTAACTTCACTAATTAAAAGCTCAGGGTTTTATTTTATAGAAGATAAAATTTCTCGTTATACATTTTTCAAAAAAATCGCAATTAGTATGAAACCGATTTTTTATTTATTTATTTGCTGGATAATAAAGCGGGAATTAGGATTTTTTTCTAAGTTTTGGAAGTTGGCATTGGCTTTTTTTTTGTTCTTATCAAGTTTTGCTGTTATCACTTGTTTTCAAAATCGGGAAAACTGTACCCGTTCCATTTTAAAATGATACGATACCCAAACGGTCTGTTATTACTTAGGTAATAGGTTTTGACTTTTAAGTTTTATTTAGTATTAAGTTATTTTATAACTAATAAGTTGTATAAATAGTGTGTTTTACCTTTCATTTTTTTTTCCATTAATTGTTTGTTCCTACTTATTTTGAACTTCCACTAACTACCTAACTGACGTGACGTTCATTGCTGCGTTAAGTATAATTTTGTAAGTATGTGTTGTATTGACATTAAACGGTTATAAACAGTGTTTTGGGAGGTGACCGGTGGAGGGGGTAATACCTCCCTCAGGAAAATGTAAGACTTACTACATCAACTAACAATAAAATTAAATAAATTTCATGATAGAGGATATAATTTGTATTGGAGGCAATTACTCATTAATTAAGGCCACTTCTCATGTGAACAAAAACTATAAAAATAATTATGTTCTTATGCAATTTAGATTTATTTTTACTTCCTTCCATTATTTGATCTTATCTTATTGAACCCCTTTGAAAATGTAATTTTCAAAATAGACATAATATAAAATAAATAGAAAGAAAGTTGAAAAATTGAATTAATTTACTTGTAAATTTTTATTATTGATTTATTGGCTCTTAATACTAAGTACCTAGTTTTCAAATTTGTACATTTTAAGTATAAAATGGTTTTTTTGAATTGTTTGAAGATGTCTTAAAATTGATATACAGATATGATTTTTGAAGTTTGATTATCTTAAAGTAATTATTGTTACTGGTATAAAGCTGTGAACAAATTTATGTAACAACAATTTCAATTGAGAAATCATTCATCACTAATTAGTTATTTATGCATTTTTGTCAGTTATTAATGCTTTTTTTGTTTTGCATTTAACATTGATTTGTTTAAATAGCTACTAAAGAATAAGAATACTCATGTTTATTATACTGTGTTTTTTTAATGTGCACTAATGTTTTACACAATATCTTTAGTACAACTTATTTTTCTGAATGGCAACCATATATTTCTACTATTAAATATTTTTCTTCAGGCATTTTAGTGATTGTATCATCTTCCTAAAAAAATGTTGAATATTCTTTGAACACTGCACGCATAACATGTAAAATTATTTTTTTAAGAATTATCTATTATTTTTGAGTTAAGACATGACACCATGAATTTTCTAACTTATTCATACAGTTTTTATTTTGATCATATGACTTACAATTACTCATAAAATTAAATAACTAAGCTAATATTACTTTTTTAAAGAGTTTGTTAGATTATAAAAGAAAATCAAGTATGAAGTTGAATATTCAAGATAAGAGTTAATTTTACCTTTAACTGATACTGTAACTAATATTATTACAAAAAATTATTAACTACTAAACTTTAAAATTTAAAACTAGACAATTTTCGTATATTCTTAAAACAATACATTATAATATATTAAAAATAAATTGGTTAAAGACTCATCACATCTTCTAGGCCTAAACAATTACTGATGAATAGCATATCTATTGATATTAAAGTATTTTAAAAGTATTAGATTAGATAATCCTATATGAAGTTTTAATTTAATGAACTGAACAAAGGCCTATATATATATATAGCAAAAATAGAAGTAAAATATAGTCCTATATACTATAGTCTTATTTACTGTTACGGCACTGCCAGAACAATAAGCCATTGTTTTATTTCTATTACTGTAGAGTATGAAGACATTTCTTAGTATTCAACTTGAATAAAAAAGAAGTCATATTATATAAATGGGCACATATATTTATTTAGGTTACTTTTATGTTAAATTAACCAGATTAATGTACTATAAAAAAATGTTAAGCTTAATAACATGTATATTTTAATTTTAAACTGAAATTTTTTAGGTGGAATATGAGCAAAAAAGCAAAAACCACACCTAAAGAAGAATTACCTCCAGGATCATTATTAAAAGATATTAAAGGTATTGAATGGGAAATTCAAAATATAATTGGTAGTGGAGGATTTGGATATGTTTATAGTGGTTAGTTGAGTTATTAATTATCAATAATTATTAATTAATTATAATAAACCATAAAAATATTTATTTGTAATGTATTTTTTAGGAACGAAACATAAGTCTAGAACAAAAACCGAATATGCAATTAAGACAGTATGTAATTTTTAATAATACTGATTGTATGTTATAAACAAAATATTAATTGCATAAAATTTAAACAAATTTATTTTGTGAAAAATGAATGAGCTTTTTTATTTTAGTATATCACAAAAAAAAAATGTTTTTATTTTATGTTGATTTGAATTAGTTTTTCATTTAATTTTTTAATTTTATATAATTGTATTTATAAAATAATTTATTTTTAATTGTGCTTTGATGATAGGAAAATATGGAAAGTGGACCCCTGTTTGTAGAGCGGATGTTTTATCTTAAAAATGTGAAGGAAGAAGGTATTTAAACATAATTTTTTATACCTTTAATTTGTTCACTAATAGAATGTAGTTGTGTACTAACTAAAACGCGTCATTCTCAACTGTGATCGCCAAAATGTCTACTTCTTAGTTTCTTTTTAAGAAACTACATTCTCTCAGTGAACAGAATTTAGATAAAACTGAATAATTGTGTCAATTAATTATATTATGTTTAGATGTTAAAAAATGGATAACAATTAAAAAGTTGAAAGAATTACCAATTCCAAGATTCTATGGTTTTGGGAGTACTATTCACAATGATAATAAATATAGGTTTATAGTCATTGAAAAGTTTGATAAAGACTTGGAGACATTTCTTCAAACTGTTTCAGATAGCTTACTACTAGGAGCTGTTATTAACATAGTTCGACAGATTGTAAATGATACATTGTATTTTATTAATGTTACATTAATTTGAACTTGTTTTAAATTAAATTTTTTTTTTTTGTAGATTGATGCCTTAGAGTTTATACATGAATGTGGATATGTTCATTGGGATATAAAATGTCAAAATATATTTATTGGTAAAAAACCAAAAAATAATCATGTGTATTTAGGAGATTTTGGTATGGTAACTAAATATAAAACTGAAGATGTTAAGCCAGATAAAAAATGTGCTAATAATGGTACATTAAATTATATAGCTTTAGATGGCCACCTTGGAAGTAATTATTGGATTTAATTTTTAATTATTCTAATTTTTTATTAAATTTATTATACATCTTAAAAAAATGTTATTTACTTTGTAGTGCATACTCGGCGAGGTGATTTGGAAAGTCTAATGTACAATGGCTTAGAATGGTTAAAAATAAAATTACCTTGGAAAAATTTAACATTGCCAAAAACCATTAAGTCTAAAAGTGAGATGAAAGAAGCAATTTTAGCTGCAGGGCCAAATAAAAAAATTTATGATTTTAATAATGTACCAAATTGTAAGTATTATAAATTCTTTTTATGAAAAAATAACAAAAAAAAAAAAAATAATAATATTTTCTTTATTAAAATTTAAAATGTTGAGATATATTTTTATTTGTAAGCATTAAACTATATATGGATCATGATATGGTTAGTGTTGGACACAGTTGTTGAATAGTGCTGGGATTAGAACCATCTGACATTGCTGGCTCTTGGATAGGTTCTAAGCACAAATTTGTGTTCCACATACAAAAAATATATATTCCAAAAACCTAACACAACAACAACAAAAAAAAAATATCCTACAGATAATGACCATTTTGTCTAAGTTAAATACGAAAAAACAAATACATTTTTATCAATTGGTTGTATATTAATACTAAGGATACTAGTTCAATGTTCACATATGTATAAAAAAAAGTAACCAAATATTAAGATAAATTAATTATTTAAACTTGAAATACCAAAAGATTATTATATTATTCAAGAATATAACTAGAGAATCTTGTTGTAAATTTGAATGCAATATTTATCAAAAAGAGAAATAATAATAAAAAAATGTCTAAATTTTTGAAGAAATTTTACTATTTTTCTATGGTTGTCATATTATAGACTAGGTATATTTAAAAACATTCATTTTCTTTATAAAAGAATTTATAGATATTTTTAATGATACAAATTTTGTATTTTTCTTTATAGAATGTAATATTTAGGGGCAATAGATATTTGGCCTGTTTCTGGAATGTAAATAATATGACAGATCCAATAATTTCACTACAATACATGCATGTGTCAATTATTGTAAAAATGCTTTTGTTATTTTAAATTTATGTAAACTATTTACAGGTTATTTTGAAACCATGAATTTGATTTATAATATGGAACCTGCTGAAAAACCAGATTATGTTTTGTTGAAAAAGCTGCTAAAGCAGTATAAAACAGAGAAGTTGAGTTCAAAATAACAACTACTCAAGTAAAATGTAATTTTTATAATAAAGTAAATAAACAATGAAATGTTAAGTATATAGTATGTACAGTGTTTATTTATAATTTTTTATACATTGCATTTAAAAAGAGGTTTCATATATTTTTCTTTAAGAATATATAATTTTTTTTTTAAATTTTTTATAATTTTTATCTAAATTTATGGATTAATTCAACTACTATTTTAAGTTATTATGTGCACTGAAATAAGATTTGTTAATGCTGTATTATATATTATTCTGTATCTCAAAACTTAGTATACTATAAAATATAATTGTAAAATGTGAAAATATTTATACAATTTTGTTTGTAATTTGTTAGTACAGAAACAAAATTAATTGATTTTATTGTCTTTAGTATGTATTTAAGATGCCTCAAGCTAATATTATTTTTACACTTAACAAAACTATTTTATGAATAATGATTTTATTTTTAAGAATCAACAATACTGAATAGTTTTGAATAGTGTACCATTCTATTCTATTGGCTATTGCCTATATTGGTATTCATTTTTTTTTATTATATGCCATTATGAGGAAAAAAATAATTTTAATAATACTTTTATTATTTTAATTTATAAAAAAAATTGTACTAAGTGTTATTTGTGGAATTTAATATTCCATTCTTACTAAAACTAGTTATATTATTGAATAATAAATATGAATACGTGTATTTAACGTGTAGGTATAGTACGATTATAATATTCATTATGAACAATTTTTACACGAATTCTTAACCGAAGGACTACCCTTCGCATTTCTTGCTCGAATAAAAGTTTAAACAGATGTCAACACAATTGTACATTACGTAGTAGGTAGTATCGGATTTATGCAATCACGTATTTATTGTTTACGTATGTGAAAATTTAAAAATTGATCAATTTAATTTATATTTTACGTGTAGGTAATCAACTAGTAAATCACGGATATTTATTTTATGTGTATTTGAGATAATATTTATTATTAAATTATAATATCCTAAAAAAAATATAAATGTTAATAATTACCGTGAAAAGCTTGAAACTATAAAATCATGTACCTATCTACTATTCTAAAAATAAATGTTTCATAGGCAATACTATCGTATAAAAGCGGAACGGACGGAACAGAAACTGCTTCTGGTCCTAAATAAATAACTGATTATCGATTGGAAATCATCGTTTTCGCTGTATAGTAAAAAACCGTTGGAGTATACCTATTAAATATAGGTAGGTATGAAAAATAAAATTTCACGTGTAGGTAATAATAAACGCACGTGAAAAAATTACGGATTCTGGAGAAATAGAAACCTATACTAGGTACCTACTTAATATAAGAGAGTTGATACAATCGTGAACCGTGAGAGAGGCTCGCCAGTCGCCGCCATTATAAGGGTTTAGCTCATAAAGTTTTTATCCAGTAGATATATATATTTTTAATGTAAGTTGAAAAACTTTTACAGAATCTTGTATTAATCTTAGATATGATAATTAAAATTCTAAGAATTTTTAACAACAAAATAATTTGCTAATATTCGCGATTTTCACGGAATTTATTAATACCTATTTCAACTTCAAACGCTTATACATTTTTTTTGTGGATTTATGCTTCTATTTTTTAAAAACTTATCAGAATTCTTAATTCTTGTTTTAAATTTTCAAGTTTTTTGACCGAGCGAAAATTATGATAGAAATGTCTGTTTATTTTTATTCATTTCACTTGTTTAACTATACAAATATAAAATAATATACCATGAATTACTAATGTGTGCTATTACGTAAATATCATTATTTATTTTATCTAAAACTATTAATTAGGAATTTTATTTTATCAATTAGTAGAATAATTAATTTGTATGGATGCATTATTCAATATATATATACATATACAACGTTGAACATATGCAATTTATTTATTTTAATCATATATATATATATAACAAATTAAGATGTATCTATTAAAATTAATATAAATATTAGTATAAATTACTTTTTTTGATTTTATTAGAATATTGTTAAAACCTATGTCAATATTCAAAATCACCAATATGTCTATAAGAAAAGGTGAACGTTTAAAAAATCATATTACCTATAAATTAACTGTATTAATAGTTATTCACACGTCATTGATATTAAAAATTTAATTAAACTGGTATATTTCGCAAGTTTTTTTTTAATTACTTGATAATATTTTTAAAAATCATAAAAGTAAGTGAAAAAATGTGAGCAAGCTCTAATTATACACAATTTTGATCATTTTTTGGTAATCTAATTCATGATAATGCTTTAAAATTTTAATACTTGTTTTAGAGGTACACCTGACTTATGATGTCACGTATTTTTTATTTTTTATTTTCATATTTAAATTATAAAACTTACTTATACTGACATATTTGATTTATTTTGACTGTGTATATTAAATGGATATTTATAATTGAATATAACTGTAGTTATTACTTGAATCAAACTATAAATATACTTCTATCGTACGCTGTCCCATTTAAAGTGATTTAGTGTTTTAAAAAAAAAATCTGGTTACCTTTATCTAGTAATTATTATAATCAAAAAATTACATCATAAAACGATTTATAACAGTAGAAAGTAATATAAATATATTTTTATTTTTCATTCACAAAAATAACTTTACAACTATAAACAAAATAATAAATAAAATCACATATTTTTGCAGTAATGTATAAAAGTACATACTCGTACATACCTACCTAATTTGTTATTGGTACTCACTACCCAATAATTTTAAATAAAATACACTCAATATTTAATTAAATTGTAACATTTTAATATTTTAATATTTATAAATGTAAAATAACAATGAAAAAAAAGTTTTAAATTATAAAAAATTGAACGAATGAATTCTATGTTGATGTTATTATTAAATACAATATAGCATAATTACAATTGTTTTATTGTGTTGATCATTGAACATTTAAAACATGTTATAGAATAAAAAATAACTCAATAAGATTCAAAAAAATTTTTAACAGTCAAATACGATATAAATGTTAATAATATAATTATTAATTGATATAATCGTATATAAATGTTGTGCACCAACCTAAAATTTAAGTAATAAATTATAATACTTTATTTCTATACACATCAATATTCAATGATAATATTATATAGCTTCAAAAAATATAATATGTTATAGAGAATATTTACCATCCGGTTTAGTATGATTAATTTATTGAATTTTTAATACAATTAATTTAATTGTATATTTTATTGGCCAACACTTGGATGTGGCAATATGTCACGAAGGCGATTCAAGTCTCAAAAATGACAAAAACTCACTACGGAGAAGTAGTTACAATGTACTGCGAATAAGTGGTGGTAATGGCCCCGGAGATGTAGCGGCGACAATCCGCGAAAGCGAATCGTTAACTGACCTCAAAGTCGCAACGGCATCAGCCGACGAAATCACTTAAGCAACTTTCGGTGAAGATGGCTTAACCATTACTGGCTCTGCAGGACCGGATTAAGAGTTTACCCGGCCTGGAGCCTAGTATTCCAAAGGGCCCTTAGTCCTTACAATATTTATTACCAATAACTGAATTTTATTTATTTAAAAAAATGATACAAGGTAAATTGTACAGAAATATCTTTAAAATTTTTTAATATTTGTCAATTTTCATTAAGTACATGCTATTATACAATATTATTTATTAAATGTCAAAATATAAATATAAAATATAAAAACATAAAAATTAAAGTATATTATATTATATTATATTTTAAAATTAACTTTACTATCTTATTTTCTCTTCTTTTTTTGAAACTCCACAATAATTTTGTTTGTATTAATAAATCTGTTTATCTGTTAATAAATGCTTGCATATCGAAAATGATCGTTCACAATCAACTGAAGTTATTGAGATGAATGTGAATTTAAAAAAGCTTAAAATCATTAGGTCTTGATATTAGGTTTGATTAAATTTTATAATATTTCTTACACCTAGGATACATGGGATAATAATATTTTTTTAAATAGCCAATAGCCTTACCTTATTTAGCAATAGTTTCATACTTTCTTCTTTTTCTTTTTTAAGTTTTTGCTTAGCGGCTCCACTAGCACATTTTTGAGACATTGTAAGTAATCAGTAATCACTAAATAAGTCAACTGTTGGGATTAAATCGTGAAGACCAAATGATGGTCGACGACAGACGCTCGTATGTTTCTGTATGTTTCTAGCAAAAAAAATCTAGATTAACTATAAATAAATCAAAACAAAATCTACTTATAACAAAATATTGTCGGAAATAAGATAAGTAACGTAATGTTCTAGTTGATTCACCGAATGCAAACAATTATTTTAATCTGATATTATCGCTCCGCCCGTTTGCGGATGGCATTCAGTACATGACGTAATAAAAATAATACAATGAAATTACGAAAATTAAAAAAATGTGTAACCAAAATAAAATAAAATATTTTGAATTTGGTTTCAGATAGAAGGCCCCTTTGGGGCCTTCAATATTTTAGGGCTTGGAGCCCGGGCTCCTAGGTTCCGTGCTTAATCCGGCTCTGTGGCTCTGTAAAAATCACTGCAACACGCCGTAAAGGTCAATGCGAAATCTGGCAAGATGGCACATCGGAAACAGTGTGCGTCGTCGGCGAAGGTGATTTTACAACAAAACTCGTAGACGTATCCGTAACACGCCGTACAAAATTAAGCTTTGGCATGACCGGCCATGGTGCCACATTCGAAACAGTTGGCTTCATTGGAGAAGGTGATTTTATAACTAAACTTGTATAAGTATTCGCAACACTTTATAAAGGGTTAGGCTCAGGTTTGACTGGCTATGATGGCACGTTAGAAACAGTTGGCGTCGTTAACGAAGGCGATTTTACAACTAAACTCGTAGAAATATCCGCAACACGTCGTAAAGGATTAGACGTGACAGGACACGGTAACACAGTAAAAGCTAAAGGATGTGGAGGCGTCTCATCATGAGTAACGTTGTAAGACCGTAACATAAATCGGTTAATATCTTAGATTTCAACAAGCATAAATATCTTGAACGCAATAACATAATAAATTT